AGCAAGTGCCTTCTAATTAATTCTGCACAATCTTTCTATTCTTTAACAATCTTCAACAACATAACTGGAAATTTAGCAGCACACGCACCAATTTGATCCTCCTTTCCTTTTATAAAATCAACAAAGCCACACTCCAACAAAAAGAAATATGAATTAATATCCTAACTTGAAGATCCAGAACAATGTACCAAACCATAGCAAACGGCATCATCCTCTTCTAAGTACAGTCCATCAAGTTTCCTGAAAACCGCGTGGAACCCACAAACTAAGCATCCAACGCCGAACCCGATGACCAAATTCTCCACCATGCCGCACACCCACACTGCCAAGACTGAGATGCCGACCAAACAGAAGAGCACCCACTAATCACTTATGCTATGGCCCCACAGCACCAAAGGGTCTTCTCTGAACAAGTAGAGGAGGATCCAGAGCATAATGATTATGGAGAGGAGAGCGAGAGAACGAGGCGGTGAAGAGGGATAGTGCGCAAGCGGCGGCCATGACAAAGGAGTAGTTGGCAAGGAAATAGCGGAGATTGGAGTGGGCGCGGGTAGGGAAGGAATCAGGCTGGGAGTAGGAGATGGAGATGGAGGTGATTCCAGAAAAGGGCGAAAAACAGTAAGGGCAGTATTAAGAGAAACGACGTCGTTTTGATTTGGGACTCCAATTTTTTTTTGGATATAGGACTGGCGCGCACTTTTCCTATATATATATATATATATATTTGAAAAATTGTTGACGATGATGATGGCCATATCTAGAGTTTTCATCCCATCACAAATGATTCATCCAATTTTAAGTTGTAGCTATCAAAGTACGTAGGGACAAGAAGAGGGTGAGGGACCATTGCCGTCTAATTCCTGTGGAGTCACTCTCAGTATTTATGGATTAGACTTTTAGTTGGGTTTGCCATGCCGCGCGTTCTGCAAAACATGAGCTTTGAAAATTCTAATTTTCTTCGGCCCGGCTTGCGCTGGAGCCTCGAGGAATTTTCCTGGCCCACCTACCTTAATCACTTCACTCGTCTTTAGTTGGAGGCCCAGTTACCTTTCAACAGAATGCCCGGGAAAAAGACACATCATCCACGCCACACCCCTCTCTCTCTCAATTTCAGCCCGTTAAAATTGGATCTTCATTTTTTCGAAAAAGGCACCCACCCAACCCAAGTCGGTTTAGAATTGGATGCTACTTTTTAAAAAATTAGTTTAAACCCAGCAAGGTTACTAATGGTAGTGGTGGTAGCCCACATACCTCTTCCAGTTCGGTAAAATCTTATTTTTAACCTCTTCCAGTTCCAGATAATTTTTTCCTCATTTTTAAATTTATATATTTTAATAATTATATATCTTATAATATTTTTTAAATTTTAATTAATAATTAATAAAATCTATCATATTTAAT